AATGAATCTTCGTAGGGTACTGTATATTTTCTACGTCTAGTCGTTGATGACGGTTGATATTTTAGGGAACTATGAAGTTTTAAAACGGTTGCTAAAATGTAAAGTTTTCTTACCGAAAGTAAATTACTCAATTCATAGAGTTCAGTTGTAGGGAATCTATAGGGCTTTAAGAACATAACTTTAATTAAGCACCGTTGAGCTCTTTCAAGCTCAAGGAACCTGGTTCTTGCTGCACCACCCCATATAGGAATACAGTAGCCTACCGTTGACTGAACCAGAGCTATGTATATTTTATTAAGTAAGGACTTCGTGGAGACATGTCGTAGTGACTTAAATATCCAAATAAGTTTCCTGAGCCGAGTTGCCATTAATTCTAGGTGTGAATACCAAGACAGTCTTTGGTCAACCATTACTCCTAGATACTTTATATTTGAGACTTTATTTATTTGAGAGCAGTTACAACTAGAGCTTTGGACGACAGAGCATTCGTGAATTTTAATTTGAAAATCAGGTGTAGGTTGAGTGCTGTTGTACATGGTAAAGCAAATATATTTAGTTTTGGATATATTCAAAGTGAGTAGATTCTGATTGAGCCAATTCACCATCCTAGCAAGACCTAATTCTGCTGTTTTCCTTACAGAGTCCCATGTATCTCCTGTAAATACAATAGCTGTGTCATCTGCATAGGAAAAAATCTGCCCATTATAAAGTTTCATATTACACAGTTCATTAATGTATATCAAAAACAGAGTTGGGCCCATCACACTTCCTTGGGGGACTCCATAGTTGACAGCTACAGTTTTACTTACAGTTGTTCCAATTTTTACCGACTGTTTTCTGTTTCTAAGGTAGCTACCAAAGAGAAGACCCACGAATCACATATACGGACATCGAAAAGATTGTAGGCATTAGTTAGGGGAGCATTCATACCATCCTACATCAACATTTTGAAGTGAGGAAGCTTTTGCTCTCCAAAAGCGAAAAACAGACACGTGTGGATTGGTGCCATGAAATGCGTCTACGTTTTGAAAATGGGGTATCTAGGCGTGTTTTAGAAATCGTTACTGGTGACTAGACATGGATCTATCAATATGATCCGGAAAATAAAAGGCAATCATCAGTATGGATCTACTCAGAAGGACAGTTACCGACAAAACTGCAAAGACCTCGCAACGTCGGCAAAAAAACGGTAGCTAGTTTTTTTTGCGGAGCATACATTTATCGACGTCAATGCTGGCAAATTGTAGGTCAGTCAACTCTGAATGGTATACTACAACAGTTGCATTACCCAAAGCTTTTCAAGCTGTGCGGGAGAGAAGACCAAAGACCGGGCTTCGGGGAATCATGCTGCATCACGATAACGCCTCTTCTTAAAACAAAAGCAGTTATTGAGGAATCTGGTGTTGAAACTCTAAGTCACTCACCCTACAGCCCTGACTTAGCTCCTTGTGATTTCTTTTTGTTCCCAAGAGTTAAAGAACAAATAAAAGGCAAGTTTTTTTTTCAAACACCGAAGAAGCCGTCGCTGCCTACGAAGAAGCGATTTCCGACCTGTCAGATCAAGAGGCAAAAGTGTTTTCAGGATCAACTTCAGGAACAGGGTCGCTCTCGTCACTTTCTAAGGTTTCAACAACACCTTCTATTTTCTCCAAAAACTAGTTGTTGCTGTACCTTTTCGGCTTCAGCTTGCAACTCTGGGGCGCGATATCTCACAGCCTTGGCGACTTTTTTGCATTTCTGAGCTAGTAGTGCAATTTCTGGAACCGAGTTTATGCCGTCGACTGTCACCAGATTGTGAAGCCCATGACCTAGACATAGATGGTGAGTCAAATTGGCGATCCCAACTGCTCGTTTCACATTACTTCCAACATCAGTGACTGCAACAATCGCTTTGCCGTCCAATATAAACCTCTTCTTTATGTCCTCAGTAACATCGTTAATTTTTAGTTAAGTTTAATCGAAAAATCACTAAAACAAACGAACGTCTTTACGCCACTCACGCCGCGCGGGGAATCAAGCACACGCCGTGTCACCCCCGCAAGGCGGTGGCGGCGTGCGGGGGTGACATGGCCACATCTAATTGGCCACAATAAAATGCTTTATTAGATTTTATTTCACAGTTTTCTAGGCGTGATTAATATCTATAACTATGCCAAATTACAAATTTGTAGCACCTAGGATCTCTGAGTAAACCCGCGGACGGACGGACGAACGAACTGCCTCAGCGAAACTATAAGGGTTTCTTTTTGTACTTTTTGGACAGAACCCTAAAAACAAGTTCTGCCGCGTAAAAAGTTGACATGCATCAACACGGGAGCGACTTGAACAATCGATGTCGATCTGCTGCAACTTAATTGTAACTTAACACTCACTGTCCGATTTTCAGACACCATAGCAAGACAATTTAGAGAAAAAGAGAGAGAATTTTTGAGAAGTTATGAACTATATGTAGTACACGCGACATGGAATGGGTTAAAATAACAACATAACGCCATTATCATTTATTATAGTAGAGATGCACTTCTATTTCCAATGATGACATGAGTGATAACAAAAATTTTCATTCATCATCATGATTATATCAATCATCATCAAGTAAGGTTTTCTTTATGGGAGCGATAAACTCGAGCGTGATCCACTCACAGTGGTTTTACGAGGGGCTGTAATTATGATAATACCCCCCCCCCCCCCCCCGTCCCTGAAGCAATCAATAGGGAAGGCCTATGTTCAGCACAGGATGTTCAAAAGACAGTAATGAATGAATGAATGAAGATGCTGATGATTTGAATGTAAAAATAAATTCATTAATTATTTAACAGGCTAAATGTTTATTCATTCCTTTAATACTATCAAGCATGAACCATGAGTACACATAAATAGTTAAATGTAGTTATTTTAATATAGCAGATTCCCAAAACTACAAACATCCAGTACACAATGTCATAAAATTCTTTACACATCAATCTTATTAAAATATTTACATAATGCTTTTAACAGATTTCTTAATGGGTCAGTCCAATTCTTATGTTTACATAAGATTGCATTTTATGAATGAAAAATATACAAAGTTTGTAAAAGAATAACTGAAGAACTTTCCAATTTCCAAGTAAATATTAACAGTAGACTATGACTGGAATCATATTTGTGCCTAATTTAAATTCACTTTGCAGGCCAAAAATAAAATACTTTATTGTTTAAAAAGTTACAATAACATACTTAAACACCTAAAAAGAAATACCTAAATTGTGGAATAAGAAAACAGGACAGTTAAAAAGTAAGTGCTCCTAAAAATCAGAAGGAAATTACCTATTTTATTTCCTTCATTATACAAAGGGGCATTGTTTGGTTAACACACACTATAGAACATTTACATACAATTTTTATAATCTCCTTAAATATTATTTAAGTGATGCATAACAAATCACAAATTACAATACAACCTACTTACAATAAAGTTAAAATAATATAACACATTACAAGATAAGCCATCTGTGACTAAAATAATAGTATATAATAGAAAAGTAATATTTAAAACTATTAATTCTTTACATAACATCGATATACATGGTCACATACAAATCTACTTAATATACAATATGTAAAAAAAACACCGGTTCGTAGATGCTTGTAGGTATCATGATATTATGATTCTATTCATGTAATCCCTTTAGAAGGATAAAATAATTACCTCGCAAGCAATAAAATAAAATTTAATTAAATGGGAAACTTACATGCCAACACATGTGGAGCGGGTGGTCATCAGGTAAAAATACCACACCACACATACAAAACAAAGATAGCACTGCCTACAAGGGCGTTGCTAGATTTAAAAAAAAATCCTGAATTGTAGTAAAATACAATTTATCATCATCATCATCATCATTACAGCCCTGCACAAGTCCACTGCATCATACATAGGCCTCTCCCAAGGAATGCCACAAAGCACAGTCCTGAGCCTGAATATTAAACAAGAATAAGTTTTTTGTATTCATAATATGATGTTTTGTGTTTTGATAACATCATTGTGATAGCTATGTGTCCATTTTGGATTAGAAAGGGTGCTATTTACATAGTGTATACATATGAAACATATGAAATTAATTAGTGTTATCTTTGACTATGTTGCTAAACATAGATTTTGTTCTAACCCAGTTATTGGAATTCTTTAGTACAGCAAGCAACTACAGCAGTTCTTACATCAACATCATCCTTTATGATGTTATCCTATACTTTTTTTACATTATTAATACAAGGTTAATATCAATTTAAAAGTATTTTCAGTAAAGAAATATGCATGCTATTCTCTGCTGTAGTATTTCTTTTATTATTATTCATTTCATCATTAACAATGACTAAATATTTAAACAACTATATATCAGTGTGGCGGTGGTGTAAAAGAAACCATCAAGTCACATGTCAAAAGAGACTATGGGTTTAGGCAAAAAATTATATTATAGCTTTCAATAGATGACCATTTATTTACAAATTATGATAGATTTTTATAAATAAGGCCATAAGTCTATATATTATCATTGTTTGTCATCCCCAACCTCTAATGTGAAAATTGGCAAAGTATATTTTTGCTATATTTGAAAATATGCAGTCACATATGCACCCTATAAAGAAATAGACTCAAGAAACATACTCTTAAAAACTCAGTCTATATGTAATGAAACTATATAATATAGGGTAAATCAGTAACAATTTAACATAATTCAGTTTCTGTATAATATGTTTTTCACATTTACTGTTATGGATGCCGAATGGCAAAATGTTATGCATTAAACTATTGTATTAAATTCTACAACCAGAGAAAAGAAACTGATAATAAAAAGAATGTACTTTGCTAATATGTAAACTTTATGGTTAAACCCCATATTTTTATCAGCATAGAATATTATTCATATTAAAATACATGTTATAAGTCTGTTGTTGTCTCTGTTGTCATTATTAACAAATGTTGCTATATGTGTATAAACAAGATGCAAATATCATAGACCTCAGAAATTACAACAGCTATTGGTTTTGCGAGCAGTTTTATAGAAGGCCTTACTATGCATTGTGAGGCTATCAGATTTAGCAACTAGATCATCTAGCTTCTCTCCTCTCTCTAAAACAGCCTTAATTGTATCATGTAGAATGATTTTAGTCTCATCAAGATCATTTTGAATCTTTGTTAAAGCATCTGCTTCTCTTGGGTTCTGATATTTAGCCAAATACTGCGGCAAAACAGGGAAATCAACAGTGCTCTCGTTGCCTGTAGCCCACGAACTTGCTGGAACTTTGGCAGTAAATTCATCAAGGATTTTTGTAATCAATGTGTGAGCCACTCTGTTTGGATATTCATGATCAGATATTAAGATTCCTGCAAGGTTATCTGCTCGTACATATACTTGCAACATGTACTCACCCTCTTTGACCGACTGTCTTGTTGATTGCTGAGTTCTCTCCACGATTGTTTTACTAACAAATACCATAAACTCTTGTACAGAAGATCGTTGGAAGAAACTAAAGCTCTGTAAATCATACGCCGCCTTTAAAACTGTGGCGCTATTAACTCCTTTGTACAGGACTCCTAATGCATACACCCTAACCATGATGTGTTTTGGTGCCTTCTTATAAGAAACACTGAGAAAGTAAACTGCGTATTTTGTAATAATTGGTGACGAATAAGTTTATTCAAAAATAATTTCTTGGATAGTAAACTCTTCTTTAAATTTTAATTGTGTCCTCAATGAATAACAAAATTGAACAAAATATACCACCGTGCTTACGTCAAATGCTTTTGTCAAAATCAAATCAATGTGTCAAAAGGTCTAATGTCAAATCATCAAATCAAATCACAGATAATTATATTTGTAGCATTTTGTAAAGAGCTCCCGCAGACATTAAAGTAAGTAAGTAAGTTGTAAGTAAGTAAGTACGTAAGTTGGCCAACTATCGAACGACTAAATTGCGTACTTTTGTAATTTAATCGACCAACTTTCTTTTAGTGGTTACCAGCCGCAGACTTTAATCGATTTTTTTTTTGGAGTTTATGGCCTGGCATCTAGACCTTTAGGCCATTTTAATCGATTTAGTCCGTGACAGTGTTGCTAGCGCGGTGCGTGTACTTGATAATGCGGAAAAAACGCTCTAATTGAATTAATAATAAAAAGAAGACAAAACAGAACATTTTGGGTGCATCCTTTTTGAAAAAAACTTTTTTGTACAACGCTGGCCTTTTTTGCATTTCATCTCTGAGCTCTTCTACTTTTTCGTTTGCAACAAATGATAGGGTGGCAGATGTCGCACCCGTCGGCGAAGGCCCAAGTCCGAGCGTGGGGAAATTACGCGCGCGCGTCGGTTCGTCTTGCATGTTGCCGTGCGACTAACCAACAAAGTTGGATAGTCCGCGAGCTTGCATAGGGTAACCGTGCTAACGAGCAGTTGGCCGATAGTTGGACAACTTTTTAATTGTGCGTAATCGGAAGGGAATCTTGATTCTAATACGATCGGTGTCCAATTAATTAGTTGGACGATTTAGTTGGACAAGATGTGTGGGCTAGCATATGTCACCATACCTACTGGTATACTCTGCGATTTAGTCGGCCAACTTATAATTGTAAATCTGCGGTCTCTCTAAAACTATGGAGAGGGCATATTCCACTATAGAAATAATAGTTATACAAATATCTATAATATAGACACACACTTGTCAAAAACAGTTTTGTCTCTTTTTAACAAAGCAGTAGCTGCAATAGAAAAGAGAGACATCTACAGTTTGTAAAGTGCTTATTTTGGTAATACTTTCGTGTGACGTCATTAGCTCATCCTTGCGTGACTGCGCTGCCATTTTAAGCATAGATAAATATATATGTAGCAAGCTATGATGTTAAGTGCCAAGTTTTGAGGTAGATCTGATGTCAAACTGTCAAAAAAGCAGTGAAATAGTGTTGTACACTCTTCTCTATGGTGTCGATAGAAATTATTTTAATAAATTAATTTTGTTCAGAAATGAATATACAGGGTATTTTTGGAACGCTCCCGAAAACTAAGACAGGCGACAGCACCAAGTATACCTTTGATCATGGGTCACAAATAAAATCGATCCTGATGAAAAAAAAATCATGTTTTAACAACGTTTTATTAGCTTTATTCACGCGCCATCATGTTAGTATAGCTAAATGAAACGATAATTTCATAAAAAATATCATGAAAATACTGAAACATAAAACCAGCAGTGGAATGACTGAATTGTATCACCTGACTAAAGGTCAATGTACTCGCGAACGCAAATTCGCGCGGCCCGCAACTAGCGGGCCATACCACTACATACGCTAATGAAAAAATACTTAAATGAAATGTAACCAAGGTTGGAGTCATGCGTTTTTATTCATCGTGTAGGTATGTTTATTATTCTCATGTATTCAGTTATGTACCTATTCAGATTAGTTCAGTACTAAGTTATTTAAAAAAAATAGTTATGAAACAGCTTACCGCTCTAAATCCTCCGTGGTCTTATGAGATGCAGCTCAAATTGTGCTCCATTCATTTCAAGGTAGATTTGGGTGCAGGCGGGGCATCATCGTGTGGTCTTCGACACAGTCCGTACATAGTTTCTCGAAAGCATCCACGATCCTTTGGCGCATTTTGTCAGCACTATCACACTCACGATTAAAAACCCTTTCTTTCACATACCAAAAAGAAGTCTAACGGGGTCAGATCTGGTGAGCGAGGTGGCCAAGCGTGTGGTCCTAGTCTGCCGATCCAGCGATCATCAAATAGCTCATTGAGGCGCTCACGGACGAACCTCACGACATGGTATCGCTGTCTGTTCAGTCGTTGTGGCAGAAACACTGGTCCCAGTATGCGATCCTTAAATAAACCTGCCCATACGTTAACCGACCATCGGGTTTGGTGCCCGGTTTGTCGAATAGCGTGCGGGTTAACCTCTGAATACACGTGTGTATTTCTTCGGTTCCACAGGCCGTTTCTGGTAAATGTCGACTCATCCGTCCAGATAATGTGCTCAATGGAACCAGGCACACGTTGTCGCTGGTATAATAACCAACGGCAGAAAACTCGTCGGCGGACGTGATCGCCGGGAACTAAAGCTTGCACTTTGTGCAATTTGTATGGGCGCATTTGGTTACGCTTCAACACTTTGTGCACTGCACAAACGCATCCCGACGTCTTAACAATTTATTTGGCGATACTTCGTGTACCTGGGTTCGGATAACATGTTGCTGTATTCACAATCACTATAAAAGTACGCGTTAAGCATTATTAAAACAAAAAACGTAACAACAGGAATAATACCAACACGTAATCACAAGTAATAACAGTACGATTGAGCTGTCGCTCACGCACGCGTGTACAAAATCAACACGGAACTGTTTCAAAAACTACAATTAATAACGAACCCCAACAAAACTGAAACCTACTGCTAGGACAGTTATTATACTCTTTGTCTCACAGAATACTTTACTCCTTGCTTTGTCTACTGCGTCACAGCGTGAGGCGACACGAGCCGGCCGGGTTACATTCTGCCGTCGTCGGGTTACATAAAGAAGGACGCAACTAACAAAAACGTAAAATGGAAATAAAAAATAAATTGATGAATTTTTCTTTCAGACCCTGTGTCTAAAGTACCTATATTAAAAGGTATCTATATGAAAATACGTAGAGACATGAAGATTTTAAGGACGAACAAATTTTTTGATAATTTGTTTATTTATTTAAATAAAACGAATTTTCCTTTTCATCTTAGCTTAAAAAATACACCTGGCAACACAAAAACATCGAAGGAAAGACGCATATAACTATTTGCGTCTTTGCAACCTAATAAATAAAAAAAAAACTGCCATTCATTTAACAATTTTACATATTTTGGAAAGGTCATTTGAAGTTGAAAGGACGCTAATAGTAATTTACTACTTTTTTTTTTAATAAATATTAGAAAAGCATTGGTAGTGAGACACAAAAAATAATAATTTTAAAAAGTAATGATTTTAAAGGGGATATCATACAAGACTTACTACGATAATAATTAAAAATTAAAAATTTTGTACAACGGACTTTAATATAAATAATTAAGGATAACTCAAAAACTATTGGTCTGACCTCGATCAAATTTATATGGGACCACATGTGAAACACCAGCTCTTAACAATAAGATATAAGCTCTTAATAATAAGATATAGAATAATAAGACAAGACCAAGAATAATTGAAATTTAAGTAATCGATGCAAATATTGTTAAAGATGACGTAGCAACTGGTTAAATAAGTCTTTTCTTTTATGTTGAATTTGTATAAGTCTTTTCTACTAAAAAAAGTCATCTGTGATCAACAGTTACGTCTAAAATTCTTACGATAATTTCTAAAATATTGATATTTGTGAATATTAAAAAAATTTAGTAGATGCGCCTTCTTATCATGAATCGAATGGTATATTTAACTCATTTATTCATAAATTGTTAGATGCGCCCTTTTTTCTTACGACCGCGTGTTTCGTACCGAGCTAGATACAGGTCGATAGCGGAGGGGGTGTGGGTACAATCGCGTTCTAAAGTACTACATGGTATTGGGCTATTGTTTTATAATATTATAGTAATTCATTGTTTTAATGTAGAATCATAATAGGTGTTTTACTAGCTACTTAGAACTTTGGAAGAGGTGGGAATTAAAAATGGATAATGTTTACATGAGCATTATTTGTTATTTCTATCGTAAAATATAAAGTAGTTTGTAACAAGAAAACTTTAGCTAAGGGTAACACGCCGTCCATTATGACGTCTTGGGTCACATGGAAGCCAGATGTTAATGGTGTGTTGGTGTTACTGGATGCTACTTGATCATCACTTTCATCTTCGCTTGAGCTTCCGTCATCAGGTCGATCACATGGTAATTTTTTCGGTATTCTTCCTCCACACTTTTAACTTTACTGCACAATTTTCCCCATTCACCTTCTCCTATCATATTTACCTTTTCGATCACTAGTTTAGTTATAAAACAATAGATATAAATAATTTTTCTTTCCTTCCTTTTTAAAACATCGTCGCCAGTCGCAAAGTAAGCTGTGTATGCGACTGTATTTTTGGAGCGAACAAAGCGCGGGAACCAATAGCATGCAGGCACACTAATACTGGCGGATTGTTCCCCCGTCGCGCGCCTTTCGTACCAATATGTGATAAATCGCTCAGTGCCCAAGTTCAAGGCCAGCGTTTGTTTTTCACCGTTCGCGCGTACATTAACCTCCATTAGTCAGGTGATATCAATTCAGTTTCCACTGCTGGTTTTATGTTTCAGTATTTTCATGATATTTTTTATGAAATTATCGTTTCATTTAGCTGTACTAACATGATGGCGCGTGAGTAAAGCTAATAAAACGTTGTTAAAAGATGATTTTTTTTTCATCAGGATCGACTTTATTTGTAACCCATGATCAAAGGTATACTTGGTGCTGTCGCCTGTCTTAGTTTTCGGGAGCGTTCCAAAAATACCCTGTATAATAATAATAATAGTTTATAAATCCTGGATATCATATTCATCCACCGTTTCATGATCATTCCAGATTTTTGAATTTTAAATGAACAAAATTAATGTAGCTACCT